GTAACCTACTGTATAGCAGAGCGACATCCACGACTTACCCCCTTTTTTTAGTTTCATTAGTCTTTTTAATTGAAAACTGAAAAAAATCATCATATTGTAAAAAACGTTTATTTAAGTTCTTAAACTGTAATAAATTCCTAATTTTTTAAATGCATTTTCTTTGCGATGTTTGAGAGGAAATAATCCCAGCTCTACAATGGTTGATGATATTACACTAAATACTGTTAGAACGACATTTTAGTTATTTCGTAAAATGTATTGCTACAATATTTTCAAATATGTATTGATGTAACATTTGAGATGTACTTTGCTTTTTACTAATCTCACATTTTATATTTCAATTTTAATATACTATACATTAATTGTTTCTCCCTTGTGCGTGAGTATTTTATATTAACTATTGATCTTTAAATGACCAGCTACACTTATTATTTTTAAAACCAAGACAAAATACTTTTTTTAAAGTGCTGATGAAATAAATACCACATATAACTAATATCAAATGCAGGTATAAAACTTGTGTTTTTTTTTCTTTAATTAACAATTAAAGTTAAAATGAGTGGAATAGCACATTTTATAGAAAAAATTCGGCTTATGCGACTAACCTAACATTTTATATCGAAAATAATTTTTTTTTACTTTTTTCAATTTCTCTTATACCTATAGATTATTTTAAACGAAGTTGCAATATTTTGGAAATGTTATGGTGCATAGAATATGCTTAGGTATATATAAACATTCAGTGAATGTTACATATTATTATACGCATGGTTATTAAACGTTACTCTAAAACTGGTTATGTGTAAAAATATTAGTTGTTCCTTAATTTATTRTTTGTTTTTCCTGCCGCTTTTGAAAACCATTGTAAATTGTTACTGTTGACCCTCTCAATTAAGTATCAGCTAAGTTCAATTTATTACCAAAAAAGATGCTGTTGAAGAAAATCGAAACCGTCTTAACTTATAAAATATACCATATTATTCAAAAATGTAAACCACTGTAAAAGGTAACTCGACTGCTAGCGAATCTTCCTTCAATTCATTCAAAGCTTTAAGTATTTTATATTATCCTTACTACTTTATATTTACTTATGGAATGAATTGTACAGATAACAGATTGAAAATTCTCAATAAACGCCAAATAAAAATTAAAAATATTATTAGGTTAAAATATTTTGAAAATAAAGATAGTACATTAGTACAACATGTCAGAATCACATATTATGTATACCTGTGTCTTAAATTTTCCAAAAACAATATTTCCATACCAGCATACCTATACCTACTTTTCAAAATAATGATAGATTTTATCGGTAAAAGAATAACTGCTTGTACTATAATACATAAGGTTTGCACTCAACGCGATTGTATATAACTGTATTACCTTATTGAAGGCATTTTCTAAAGGTATTACCTAACCTAACCTAACCTTACTATAGGTACGTTATTGGAGTTCCAAACTTATATAGAACGCCGTGTTCTTTTGTCGACACTAATGGTCAATGACCATATTGTATAGCACATCTTGAAGTTATTTTTATTCCACACTCTCCAGTATTATATTTACGGCGGAAAAACCTAATGTTAGATCCCTATAATATAAGTAAACAGTAGGTACTTAATACCTATACAGAGAATATATATGTTGTTTATGAAATAGGTAGCTACTGGCTACTACCTATATACATAGAATATGTGCGGAGCCGGATGTTTTTCGAAAGCACTTCAAAACTATGTTTGAATGATAGGAAACTGTCTTTTGATGTGTACAAAACAAATAATTTGACTGAAACAATTATAGAATTATTTCACGATTTTTCAATACCAGTGAAACGCAACAACTGTTTATTATACCTATAATAGTTATTATAGGTACTTAATGGTCTCTACTTATTTATAGCAAACAACACGTGCCGTACAAGTTATAGTAAGTACTATCCATTTATGGGAGTGTGAATTAAGGATATTAAAATAGTATGTGGACGTATGGTACATCGTACATGTATGATATTGTACTTAAAATATGTTTAGGTCACGGCCGTTAGTAATTATTATCAGTTATCACATTGCAGCTCCGTAAAACTTAACCAACTC